TACTACTACTACTACAACGACTACTGCTACTACGACTACTACTACGACGACTACTACTACTACGACTACTACTACTACTACCATACTACGACTACTACTGCTACGACTACTACCACTACTACTACTACTACTACTACTACTGCTACTACTACTACTACTACTACTACTACGACTACTACTACTACTAGGAATACTACTACGACGACTACTACGACGACGACGACTACTACTACGACTACTACTACTACTACGACGACGACGACTACCACTACTACTAATACTACTACTACTACCACTACTACTACTAGCACTACTACTACTACTACTACTACTACTACTACTACTACTACTACTACTACTACTACTAAAACTATTACTATTACTACTACCACTACTACTACTACTACCACTACTACTACTACTACTACTACTACTACTACTACCACCTACCACTACTACTACTACTACTACTACTACTACTACTACTACTACTACTATACTACTACCACCACCACCACCACCACCACCACCACCACCACCACCACTACTACTACTACTACTACTACTACTACTACTACTACTACTACTATTCCCCCTCCTCCTCCTCCTCCTCCTCCTCCTCCTCCTCCTTCCCCTCCGAGGCTGTCGTCCACCCGGCCGCGCCGCGGGGACTGCGGGCCGTCGGCGGCGAGCCGGAGCCCCGCCCGCGAGGGTCGCCGAAGCCGGGGCGCACTGGCGGGAGGTCCGGCGCGGGCGCCGTGGGGCAGGGCGTGCAGCAGGCAGGGGGGCAGCGTCTGCCAGCAGGCGCCGTCCCAGACGGGATCGCGTCGTGCAAGAAGTCATGGCGGGAGGTCTGTGGCCACTGTCGGCCCCGGGAGGGCCCTCGGCGGGCCTCGGGAGCGTCAGAAAAAGACTCGGGACGAGAAACCGGTCCCCGGGGAAGGGGTCCAGACCGCTTGGGGTCCACGTCATGAGAAACTGGTGACGTCGGGGGTCTGGGCGTGCAGCAGGCAGGGAGGCAGCTGCTGCCAACAGGCGCAGTGGCCCTGCCAGGTGTCCACGCGCACCTCGCCCTCCGCCGCGTCTGCGTCCGAGCCAGGCGCCAGCAGTTTGCAGGGGCACGAAGAGGAGGTCTGTCTCATCACGGGCGCGCAGGCGACGTCTGAGGAAACCGGTGGTGCGCGACACGAGCGAGCTGTGGAGCGAGATAGTGGAAGCGATTTGTCGTTCCGAGACAAGGTGCTGAAGCTGGGCGTCGTGCAGCTGGAGTTGTGGCTTGGAGGGGGAAGGTGGGAGAGAACAGCAGGACTTTACAGCTGGCGATGCACTGTGAGTGCCGCCACACACCTCAAACCCGGCTGACAGACATAGAGGTGCGGCTGGGGAGGTGGCACTTGAAAACAATTTGTTTTCTCACCCAACGCACGGCACCCGTTTGCAGGGTGCGCCCGACACTTTCATCGCCAGATTGAGGCAGGCTGCGGCCAGGGAATCAATCTCCTGGCTGCCACAAGGGCCGACCGGTCAACCTGGTGCTGCTGGTTGAAGATGCAGACCCAGAGTTATGCTGTTCTCATCCCAGAAATAATTTCGAGTACCCAGAAAAATATCGCAACAGTGTCGAACGAGTATCGCCTCCCAGAGCCCGACACGTGAAAACCCTCGGTTTCGGCATCTTCTTGGTGCACGAAAGTCTTTTTGGTGATCTGGGCTGAAGTAGGTTGGAACATCATAAACCCAGAGGTCGTCGCCAACACGGGCCCCATCGTGGAGTGGGCTGGGGCGCAGCAGAGGCGCTCGTAATTAGGTCATGGGACTCTGTGGCGCTGGTGCGGGGACCAGCCGGCGCTTTCATCGCCACCGTGCTCCATCTCGGATTGGCCACACAGGCGCCATGGTCCACCACGTGCGAGGCAAAGGTCCTCGATCTCACGACCATGGACTTACATTCCCTGCACGGGCTCGTCCGAAAGGCCACACACTCTGTACTAGAAGGCATGACTTGATTGAAACAGGAAGCCCGCGTGCAGAAACATCTGTTCCTGGGGCCGATTCGCATTCTCGCACGGCTCACCGGCAAGTGCAAGGCAAAGCACCGCACACGCGGGCGAACGCCTTTTGACGGATGCGCCGAGCGGGCCGCCGACAACAAGTACATGTCAGGCGTGCAACCTGTGTGTGAACACAGATCTGGACTGCGCGTATGTGTGTGTGCGTGTGCAGCACGCGTGATGAGCAGCGAAGGCGAGTAGGGGGCAGACATGTACAGCAGCGCGGTGCCAACCCCCAGCCAGGCTCTGAATCTGAACTCCTGTGGGCTCGAGGCCTCACGAAGGACCCACGCAGACTCCTGGATGATCTCCCGCTGTCGTTCGAGGTACGGGGTGAAGGAGCATCCAGGGTCCGTGACTGGCGAAGTCTTTTCTGGCCGCTCACTGCTGCGCAGTAACTATCTTCCCCTGCGAAGGAATGGGATGGGGGCATGTGCAGCTGTCTGCTAGCGGCGCGAGCTTGGAGAAACCCTCTTCCTGGGCAGTAAGCTAACCGACAAAACCGCCAAGCAAAGCGCGAAGCCAAACGAGCATCCGTTCTGGCGGCAGCAGGCGTATAAACAGAAGTTCCCAGATGCTGTGGAGTTTTCTGTTCGGCTCGGGGCGATGGCTGCAGATTTGCGTGGACAGTCGAGGATTGACAGAACACCATCTAGCACAACGCCGTTTGGTGCAAGCTTCCAAAGACACTCCACGTGCGCACGGCACCGCATTCCGAGTGGACACGGGCGGGATAACAAATCGACATCCGAAAACGAGACTTGGCCTTCAGCGTGAGTTAACTTCGTGTACGCAGTGTTTTTTGACGCATGGTTTACGCAATGTCGTTTGCGCAGTGCCGTTTACGTAATGTTTTTTACGCAATGCTTTTGTTGCGAAATTGTTTACGCCGTGTTGTTGCGCGCTGTTGTTTGTACGCCGTGTTTTTTTTACGCAGGTTGGTTACGCCGTGCTGCTGTTCCCCGTTGTGTGTTTGGTTACGCTGTGTGTTTGCACACGGTGTTGGTTTACGCATTGTTATGGTTTACGAAGTGCATGTTTTACGCATTGCTTTTTTGCAAGAAAACAACACGGCGTAATACAACACGGCCTAACAAAAACACTGCGTAACAACCGCAACGCAAACACCAACTCGCAAAGAAACACTACGAAGAAACCCAGATGCGAGAAAACGTAAACATGACAGCGCGTCGTAACAACATTTCGAAACCACATACAAACACTGCGTACCAAAAACGCACTGCGTAAACAACACTGCGTAAACAGACCCCGCGGGAACACCTCGCAGAAACCAATACGCAGAACACAAACTGCAAGAAACACTGCACAAGAACACGCTATACAGTCCTACACTCCGTAAGCAGAAGGTGAGAACCACTACGTAAACCACTGCGTAAACAAATAGCACTGCGCAAAAAACACTACGCACAAAAACACTGCATAAAAAAAACAAGACCAAACACTAAGCAAACAACACCTCGCACGGAACGGCTACGAAGAAAACAATATGCGAGACAACACAAACACATACGGCACACACCACACTCCGAAAAGGCACTGCGAGATAAACAAATAACACTACGTAAAGACACTGCGTACACAAACACACACTGCCGCAAAAACAAAAACAACTGCGTAACCAGAGCTCACGGTAACATGCCACTGCGTAAACACACAGCGTTGAAAAACACTGCGAAAGAAAACAACTACGTAGCAAAAACACTGCGTGAAAAAAACAACAAAACGCTGCGTAAAAAAACACTGCGTAAAACACAACAAAACTTACGTACAATACAGCGCTGTTACAAAAGAAAAAAACACGGCGTACACAAACTGCATAACCAACCACTGCGTAAAAAACATTACGTCAATGCGAACAAAAACACTGCGATAAACACACTGCGTATAACAAGATTGCGTAAACCAAAAGCAAAAAAACGTAAACAGACCCCGAGAGGAAACTCCGCGACGGGAAACACCGCGCAGAAAAAAAAGCAGTGCAGAAAGCAATCTACAAGAAACACGACTCCAGAGCACGCGACATTACGACACCCCGTAAAAACATGAAACACACAGCGCAAAAAGAACACATAGAACAAAACACTACGTTAAACAATATTGGGTAACACAACGCAGGAAGAACAATCACAAGCTGCGTAAACGACACTGCGTGTAAGAAACAGCAGGAGGAGGAGAACAACCAAAAACAATGCCCGAACAACAAATGCAAACAGACCCCGAGGGGAAACACACAGAAAACAATACGCAGAACACAATGTACAAGAAACACTGCACAACAGCACGCGGCATGACTACGCTCCGTAAAAAAAGTGAATACAAGACTTCAAAAAACACTGTGTACAAAAAACACTACGCAAAAAAAAGCACTGCGTGAAAAACACTGCGTACAAATTCACGACGTGAAAAACATGCACTGCAAGAGCAGGAAACACCACGGAGGAAGCACAACGCAGGAAACACCGCGCAGGAGACAAAAAGAAGAACACGCCACGCAGCAAACAAAAAGCAAGATACACCACGCAGGAAATACGCAGGAAACACCACGCAGGAAACGCCACACAAGAAACACCACAAGGAGAAACCGGAGGAGGAGGAACCAAGGAGGAGGAACTGGTAGGGAGAGGATGAGGAGGAGGAGGAGAAAGAGGTAAAGGAGGAAAAGGAAGAGGAGGAAGAAGTAGAGGAGGAACAGGGAGGAGGAGGAGGAAGTAGAGGAGGAAGAGGTAGAGGAGGAACTGGGAGGAGGAGGAGGAGGAGGAGGAGAAGGAGGAGGTAGAGGAGGAAGAGGAGGAACCGGTAGGAGGAGGAGGAGGAGGAGGAGGAAGAGGAGGAGGAGGTAGAGGAGGAGGAGGTTGAGGAGGACGAGGAACTGGAAGGAGGAGGAACCGGGAGTGGAAGGGGGAGGAGGAGGAAGAGGTAGAGGAGGAAGAGGTAGATAGTGAAAACGTAGAGGCAGTGGAGGAATACGTAGAGGCAGAGGAGGTATACGTAGAGGCAGAAGAGGTATACGTAGAGGAGGAAGAGGTAAAGGAGGAAGAGGTAGAGGAGGAAGAGGTACAGGAGGAAGAGGTAGAGGAGGAAGAGGTAGAAAAACACTGCGTAACAAAAAAAACGCTACGTAAAAAAACAAACACTACTGAAAAACACTACGGGTAAAAAACCTCTACGTAAAAAACACTACGTAAAATAAACCACGGTAAAGAAACACTGCATTAAAAGAACACTACGTGAACAACAAAAAACTTCGTACATATTGAACTCACGATTGAGATTTAGATTTCACGATTAAGAGAACCCTTGTCAGAAAAAAGGAAGTGCGCCAGGCAAAACGAACGTCGAATGGCGAAACCGACTGGGGACCGAACGGTCACGTCGAGCGGACTGGTGCAGATTTACTGTGGAACTGTCTGGGTGGGCGTTCTCTCAATCCCCGAGACACGGTAACCGACGCCGCTCAGGGTAGCATCACGAATCTCGGAGGGAGCACCGCCGTCAACGTTGACTCCACCCCCTTCGCTGATGCCTCCTCCTCCTCCTCCTGCGATCGAGGGCGAACCGACGGCAGCCTCTGAGGTAGTCGATCTGACCCGCTAGGGCCGCCAGGGTCTCACTCTGAAGGCACGACTGCTGGGATACCATCTCATGTCTCGGCCAAGCTTTATATTCTGTCGTCGGTGCGCCTCCTACGCAGTGTAAGCAGACAGGTCTGAATCAAAGCTCCAGTAATCAGGCCAAGGCTCGGACGTCCAAGGGTAGTTTGTGGGAGGGACGCCATCCCAAATCAGGGGCTCCTATTAGAACAACTCTGCAAGAAGCCACTATCTCTCATTGCTCCGACCTGTGGTGAAAGTTCTCGGCCGAACGAGATACCGAACAACATCCTCCTTCTCCTCCTCATCTTTCTCCCCTCATTCGCGTCCCCATGACAGATCATCATTTTCAACATGGTCACCACTCTCATCATCATCATCATCATCATCATCATCATCATCATCATCATCATCATCATCATCATCATCATCATCTGCAGCAGCAGCATCATCAGCAGCAGCATTATAATCAGCATCGGCATCAGCATCACCATCATCATCATCATCATCAGCAGCAGCATCATCATCATCATCATCATCATCATCGCCATCATCACCATCATCATCGTCATCATCTGCAACATCAGCATCGTAATCATCAGCATCATCATCATCATCATCGTCAGCATCGCCATCATCATCACCAGCATCATCATCGCCACCAACGTCATCATCATCTCCACCATCACCATCATCATCATCCTCATCACCATCACCACCATAATGCATCATCATAATCACCATCAGCATCGCCATCATCATCATCATCACCATCATCATCAGCATCATCAGTAGCATCAGCATCAGCATCAGCGTCAGCGTCATCGTCGTTCTCATCGTCAGCATCATCATTGTCAGCATCATCATCATCATGATCATCATCATCAGTGTCACCATCATCATACTCACCATCATCATCACCATCATCGTCATCATCATCATCAGCAACATCATCATTATCATCCGCATCAACGTCCTCATCATCCGCCTCATCATCTTACCACACATCAATTTCCGGCATTAAGCGAACTCCATGTGGGCGCCCTCCATAACGCCGAAACCGCACTTCTCGCGCTGTGCCGCGCAGTGCTCGCGCAATCTGCGGGTGGACGAAAAACTGTGAGGACGGAGAGAGGCAGGCTCGCGCTGCCCATCACGTGAGAGGCAAAGATGAGGGGGGACAAGCTCAGGTAGAGAAACGTCGACAAGGAGTCGGCGACACATCGCCGATAGATCGGCGACATGCCTTCGATAGCAGAATGCCACGCTCCTGGGCGGGGTGGGCTATGCGATGAATGGGCGATTGGGGTCGATGCATCCCCCTCTGACCGTACGAACAGGCACATTTGCACAGCGTGTCGCGGCCACGGTCCCGGCGACACGCTGTGCCATGCGAGCGGGGAGTCCTTCCTACTCCTTCCGGTCACGCTCGCCACCGAAAGGCTCGGGCTCGATGCCCAAGCCAAACGGTGGAAAACGGGCGAGAAAGAATGGGTGTAGGACGAAGTCCTCGCCCGTCCTTTCAGCCACACTTCCGAAGCCTGCTGCTGTTGCCGCTGCTGCTGCTGATTCTCCTCATCCTCCTCCTCCTCCTCCTCCTCGCTCCTCCTCGCTCCGCTCCGCGAGTCGGGAGGCTCGGGAAAGACTCGGGCTACTGGCGCTTGGACCTGGGGACGCCGGCAGCGCGTCGCGCCGAAGACTGGTGCCGAGCGACACGCTGCCCAAGTGCCCGACCGCAGCACCACCCAGTCGCTCCTGGGCGGGGTGGGCTATCGGGCCCCTATCGGCGACGAATGGGCGATTGAGCGACGATCAAAAACGGGGCATACGCGAGATGGCACAGCGACCTTACGCCGCAGCTTACGCGGGCCGCGAGCGCGGCACGCTACATTGGAGACGAGGGCGCTCACGCGCGACCTTACGCGGGCAGCTTACGCGCCACTCTCGGCGCAGACGACCTCGTTTGCGTGCGTCGCTCGATTGGGGGTCGATGCATCCCCCCGTGAGTCTAGTTACCCCCCCCCCCGTAACGATGCTCCTTGGTATTCGGGTCATACCTCGGCTCTCCAACGCCTGTTTGGGACGATCCCGACACCCCAGGGACGCCCTCGACAAGGCGCAGCTGCTGCAGGGCCTCCCGAGGCTGGAAAGCCGCCGAGAGCCGACGCCAACCGCCTCGAAAGCTAACCTTCGTCCCCCATGTGCCGATCCCCCCCTTAAGAAGCCGTAGTGGGCCCCAGAGACGCAGGGCCGTTTTTTCCACCGTTTCCGAAAAAGTGTCTTGAAAATGGAAACGGACAAAAAACAGCGACCAAGAACGGCAACAACAACAAAAACGGCTCCAGGATTGAAGCCGGAGCCGGAGCCGGTAAAAAAAAACGACGGCGGAACCGGTAACAGAAACGGCGCCGGAACCGGCAACAAAACGGCAGAACGGAACAGGTACCAAAAACGGCCCTGTCGTTTTCAGCCTGTCCCCGCCCAACGTTGCCCCTGATCACGACGGGTGCGGCACTGCTGCCGTGCCGCCGCTCTGACCGCCTCTGGGCGCGAGCACGCTTGCGCACGCGCCCCGCGGGGCTGGGCAGTGCGTCACGCCCGCAGGCAGCCTGTAGAAGACCCCCGCCTGGGCGCCGCTCCAGAGCCGCGGGGGGGGGAGCAGGTGGAGGAGAAGGAGGAGGAGGAGGACGAGGACGAGGAGGAGGAGGCGGAGGAGGTGGAGGTTGAGGAGGACCCTCCTCGGCACCTCCCTTCGAAATCACGATATACGTCATCGGTTCGAGTCGCTCGCATCCTCCACTGCCCACTGTGTGCATATTCCATGCCCTCTCGGGCCTCTCGACTGTTCATTTACTCTTTGCCACACCACACGCTGCTGCCACAGGAACTTTACCAGTAGGCAGGCCACTGCGGCTAAGTCGGTCTTGCGCTGCATGCTCCTTACGTGCGCTGCGAGCCTCGCGCGTGAAGTCCGATCAACGTCAAAATTACCCTGGCGACGTACCCAACCCCTGCGCAAAAGCGGGGCGCAAATAGTTTAGGATACTTTATAAGGGGGCGATGACGGAGCGAGGGTTACATATGTCTGCAGACGGAATTCGGGAGACTCGCAGGACACTGGCTACAGGAAAAGGGCTTGATAAAGCTGATGATTTACAATTCCTGAGCACTCCTAGCCACTTCGAAAACGGGGATCACAGCAGGCCTCGAAAGTGGCGACAGGTTCACAGATCGCAGCCCCGCAGGGATGGCGAGGTCTCATTTGAATCTGCCCGTGGCCCTCACTGTGCTGGGCCCCCCAGCAGGCCTCGAAAATGGCGACAGTTTCGCAGATCGCAGCCCCCCAGGGATGGCGAGGTCTAATTTGAATCCGCGCGTGGCCCTCACTGTGCTGGGCCCCCCAGCAGGCCTCGAAAATGGCGACAGTTTCGCAGATCGCAGCCCCCCAGGGATGGCGAGGTCTAATTTGAATCCGCGCGTGGCCCTCACTGTGCTGGGCCCCCCAGCAGGCCTCGAAAATGGCGACAGTTTCGCAGATCGCAGCCCCCCAGGGATGGCGAGGTCTAATTTGAATCCGCGCGTGGCCCTCACTGTGCTGGGCCCCCCAGCAGGCCTCGAAAATGGCGACAGTTTCGCAGATCGCAGCCCCCCAGGGATGGCGAGGTCTAATTTGAATCCGTGGCCCTCACTGTGCTGGGCCCCCCAGCAGGCCTCGAAAATGCCGCAGATCGCAGTGGCAGGTCTGTGCTGGCCCTCACTGTGCTGGGCCCCCAGCAGCCTCGAAAATGGCGACAGTTTCGCAGATCGCAGCCCCCCAGGGATGGCGAGGTCTAATTTGAATCCGCGCGTGGCCCTCACTGTGCTGGGCCCCCCAGCAGGCCTCGAAAATGGCGACAGTTTCGCAGATCGCAGCCCCCCAGGGATGGCGAGGTCTAATTTGAATCTGCCGCGATTACCCTCTATGCTGGACCCCCCAGCAGGCCTCGAAAGTGGCGACAGTTTCACAGATCGCAGCCCCCCAGGGAGGGCGAGGTCTAATTTGGATCTGCCGCGATTACCCTCTATGCTGGACCCCCCAGCAGGCCTCGAAACTGGCGACAGTTTCACAGATCGCAGCCCCCAGGGATGGCGAGGTCTAATTCGAATCTGCCGCGATTACCCTCTATGCAGGACCCCCCAGCAGGCCTCGAAAGTGGCGACAGTTTCACAGATCGCAGCACCCCAGGGATGGCGAGGTCTAATTTGGATCTGCCGCGGTTACCCTCTATGCAGGACCCCCCAGCAGGCCTCGAAAGTGGCGACAGTTTCACAGATCGCAGCCCCCCAGGGATGGCGAGGTCTAATTTGAATCTGCCGCGGTTACCCTCTATGCAGGACCCCCCAGCAGGCCTCGAAAGTGGCGACAGTTTCACAGATCGCAGCCCCCCAGGGATGGCGAGGTCTAATTTGGATCTGCCGCGGTTACCCTCTATGCAGGACCCCCCAGCAGGCCTCGAAAGTGGCGACAGTTTCACAGATCGCAGCCCCCCAGGGATGGCGAGGTCTAATTTGGATCTGCCGCGGTTACCCTCTATGCAGGACCCCCCAGCAGGCCTCGAAAGTGGCGACAGTTTCACAGATCGCAGCCCCCCGCAGGCAAGACAAGAAGAGGCGGGAGGCGGGAGGCGGGAGAAGGGAGAAGGGACGCGACCACACTGCTCTATTCAAAACGAATACCCAACCAAGGAGGGTTGGGAAAAAAGGAGGAAGAGGAGGAAGAGGAGGAAGAGGAGGAAGAGGAGGAGGAGGAGGAGGAGGATGAGGAGGTCCTCTGTCCTGTCTCTCCTCCCCGTGGCTTTCCCCTCGTCCCCCCCTCTCTTTCTCCCTCGAGGTCCGAAGCCACAGCGGATCTACCTTCCTATATCTGCCGCCGTGCCCCGAGGCACGGCATGGAGTGTCTTCAGGTGAAGGCTGCACGGGGGGAAGGCATGCTGGGCCAAAGCCCGCCCTTGCCTCCGCTGGCGCGCCGGTGGCGCGTAGCCCTAAATCAATTAAGTAAGCCAAAGGGGGCCGCCGTGGCCAGGCGAGGGGCTGGCCAGGGGCAGCCTGTCAGGCGGGCGGCAAGAAAGGCTGCGGCAAGGAAGGCCCTCAGTCCTATGTTGAGTCCCATAATACTTTTTAAGGGGCTCCAGAGTTTGATTTCTGGGCGCTCTCGGGTCTTGGCGCGCGTTGTCGCGCGTTGCCGCGTGACTCTTTCGGAGGCACGAGGGCGCCGAAACTGACCAAGAGGACCGCAAAACCGCCTCGCGCCACGCGTGCCACCAGGCTCGGGCAACATCGCCAGACGCGGATCCACATCGCGGCCCACAGTTGGCTGTGTGACACGCGTGCCCCCTGGACTTGAAGAGATTGTCGTGAGGATGCTGTAGTTGGCCCAGTACGCTCTGTGTATTATGCGGCACATATGAATTCGATCCGGCCGACCGACCCTCCTTCTCCACTGCTCCTCTCTCCTCCTCCTCCCACTTCTTTCCGTCTTCCTCCAAGCCCGAGCCGTAGCCACAGCGGTGTTACTCCTGTTCAGCACACGCTTCGTTCCGGCACGGGCACAGGCGCGCCACCTGCTTGCCACAGGTGGCCGCAACATGGCGAATTGGCGGCTGCTGCTGCCTCCTCCGCCACCGCGGCCAGGCAGTGCTGTGCCCCAGGTGCCGCCGCCACCGCCTCCGCGGAGGCATACGCCCGCCGCCCGCTTCGCCTTCTTCGGTCCTTCTGGAGGCGTCCCTGGGCTGTCCTGTTGTTCTTCTTCTGCCACCTCTGCCGCACGCACCTCTACAGGACTTGGCTACGTCTCCTTCTCCTACGTCGTGTTGGCTGCCTCCGTGGCCGTTAATGCCCGCCCACTGGTCAGTTCGACTTGCAAGTACAGCCTGGGGGCTCTACGAAAGCAGTGAGCCCGTCGGGTCCACATCCTCCATGTGCTGCGTTACATGAGGAGCCGCGGAGGTTCAACCGCTTGGCGACGCGGATCAAGAAAGAATTTGCAGGAAGATGCGAACCGGGTGCCTGCACTTAATCAGTATGCTGCGCATACAGTGAGCTCCGGCAGCCATAGAGATCTCCCAGCAGGCCTCATGCCCTTTCGCTCCGCAGTATTGCTCGCGCCGCTCATCGGTCCCCCAACAAGCCTCGTGCTGAATTCTTCCGCCGCCCGTCAGTCGGGGGCGCCTTGCCGCCTCAGAGATGCCTTACTTTGCCTGCTTGCGCGATTTCTTCTTCTGCTGTCCCTTCTCAGCCTCTTCTGAAAAGCCAGGAGGCTCAATCGAGCCAGGACGACCTGTTCATCCGTCCTCCGCCAGCATTGCAAAACTTGTCAGAAGCAAGATGAGCCAGTGATGCACACCAACAGTGGAGCTATTCACTGCATCAAAATCATGCCTATCTCGCCCCCGGCCTGCGCATATTGTGGCAATGCCACCCACGATGGCAGACGGCGCGGAAGTTGTCTAGTCAGAAAGGGCAGGGGCTTCATCAGCAGGGCTTGCTAGACTAGGTACTCCTTGCCCCAAGAATCGGGCCTTTGGATCCCGTGGCTGGCCTACAGACATGCTGCTTGCTCTGATGTGGCTCCGAACACTCAGGAAGGCATAGCGTCTCAGCTCTCCTCTCTCCCTCTCCCTCCCTCCCTCTCTCTCTCTCTCTCGCTTCGATGGTCTGGGCTCGGCTTTTTGGCTGTAGACCTGTGCAAGCTCGCTCGTCGTGGGTCGCCCCCATTCGACCTCCCATGTCGTCGGCTCATTCGCACCAAGGGCTCACTGTTGTACGGTGCCTGCACCTGGTTCTGTGCGCGCTGATCCCGCCCTCAATCGGACTTCGTGTTAGGTCGGACATGTCCCCCTACAGGCGGAGTTTGGACAGCAAGCATAGTCAAAACGCTTCAAACATAATCAAACACATTCAAACATAATCAACAGTATTCAAAACATCGTCCCCAGACTATGTTTGACTATTTTCGGATACTCCTCCTGTAGAGGGACATGCCCGACGTAAACTTAGTTATGTTTTTCGGAGCTGTGATCTCCCCTGCGTTCAGGTTCCCTCGCTGTGGGTGGCCCCGCACTCGCCTGGCTGGCGCGGCGTGCCCTCTCTCCCCTGCCGCTTGTCTCTTCGCACCCTTTGCCCTTGCCCCGCCATAGGAGCATACTCTCGCTGTCAGCGGGTGTACGTTTTGAGCTCTCATGCGCCGTGGCACCTCGCGGCAATGGGCAGCTGCGTATCATCCCTGGCAACGCGTCCGCACCTGTATGTTCCTTTAGGGTTAGGTCGGGCATGTCCCCCTACAGGCGGATTGCGTGAGGAAAATAAAGAACAATGGAAACACGCGCAGCAATAGTCCAAACAGAATCCAAACAATCGTCCCTCGACGATTTGTTTTACTATTTTTGATTGGATATTCTTCCTGTGGAGGGACACGCCCGACTTAACGCCAGGGGCTCTCAGCCTGCTCCCTCTCCCCTGGGGTCTCCCCCTTCCACCCACCCCCCTCCGTACAGCGCTCGACTAGCCGCTCAGGCGGGTGCCACTGCCAATGTTGCAGTTTGCGTTATTGAACCCTTGGGTGCCAGCTTTCCTGGAACGTGCGTACCCACCGGTCGGACGAGGTAGCCGGAAACGTGAAGCAGGAAGGCGCTGAGAGCAGATTGGGTGTCCGCCCGCCCCCTGAGGAGGAGGGAAGAGGGGAAGCCACTCGACCATTGACGTGGGAAGGCGCTTCAAGCAGATTGGAGCCCGGGAATCCAAAAAGTACATGCTTTCAACGACCGAGGGGTACTGCTGAGAAGGAGGAGGAGGAGGAGGAGGAGGAGGGGGGAGGAGGAGGAGGGGGAGGAGGAGGAGGAGGAGGAGTAAGAGGAGGAGGAAGAGGAGGAGGAGGAGGCGGAGCAGGAAGACGAGGAGGAGGAGGAGGTTGAGGAGGAGGAAGACGATGTACCAGGCCAAACCAGCCTTCCGGTTCGGGGCTGGCCTCCCCTGCCCTCCCGCCGACGGTCGCCCCTCTTCGTTTCCTCCATCGCTGCTGTCTGTTTTGCCGAGGCGTTGACCTAAGGAACCCCGAACAAGGAACGAGGCCCCTTTTTTTCCATACATTGAACTTCGACTTCCCGTCGAAAACTCAAGGAAGACCTTGGGCAAGGTGTGGAACAATTGAAGAACACCGAGCCCCTCCCCAACGAAAAGTGCTCCTTCTTCAGCGCCCCGACTGTGGTGTCTGGTGGTGGCGCACGTGGCGGATCCCCGTGCGGTCTTAAGCGCCACCCGCCGCGCCCTCTCACCCGGAAGTCTCGGAGCACCGCACTCCGCGCATGCCTCGGTCCGCCTGCGAGCTCCTTCCTCCCTCTCTCCCCTCCCGCACCTCCTCCCAACCTCTGTCTCTTGTCGCCTGCCTCGTCCTCCTTTCTCCTCCCTCCTCCTCCTCTCTCCTCCGTTCCTCCCGTCCTCGATCACCTCTTCCTCCCCCTTCGTCCTGCTCCACCTCAGCGCTGGTCTTCCTCGTCTTCCGCCTCATTGCCTTGGTTCTCTCCTCCTCTCGATCCCCCTCCAAAATTCGCCCCTCCACCTCTTCCTCGGACTTCCTCCGATTTCCCCGTTATCCCCTCCCCGTCTCCCTGCCACCAGTCCCTCCTCCAGGTCGCGCCCCGAGCCCGCAGCGCATGATCCCTCATCTCCTCAACCCAACCCGAAGACCCGAATTTGACTCGAAATTCGGATTGGGGGGGGGGTAATGCGGGATGACGATTAATAAGAAAAATGGGAGAGAACGATTTAACAAATAGTTTTCTGCTATTCCTGTACAATTTTCTGACTGGAGGAGAACGATTAAAACATAGTTTTCCAGCCCGCGGCCGGTTTATTCTAATCGTCATCCTGGGCGCCGCCGCGTGAACACGACCCCGGGTCATTTATTAATCGTCATCCTCCATTACGGGTTCCAGGTGTGTTTCAATGTTCCCCGACCCCCCCCCCTGGAAAGGGAGGGCAGATCGAGGCCTTCGGGTTGGGCTGGGGTGGCTTGGTGGGTGGTGACGTACTCCGTGCCTCCACTCCGCCCCCCCCTCTCCCCAGTGCTCGCCATCGCTCGGACGTCCATTCCCTGTGTTTTTTTCGGTTTCGTGCGTGGTTTTTTCGCCAAATGATCAAGGCTGCTCCTCGATGGCCCTCGCCGAAGGAAAAATGCACACGTCCGAGCGATGCCACGAGCACACCCGCGGCCGCTCTGTATACTCCCACGCCCGCCAAACCGTGTCCGAGCGTCAACCCCCTGGCAGCGCGTGAAGGGACACCACTCGCTCCGCTGAGAAACTCAAGTGCCACCCCAGGCATGACCGCGCCGAAACAAAAAAATCAGGACGGGAGTGTTTGCCAATTTTCGGCCCCCTGGGGCCCTCGCCGGGCCTCGGAACCGTCGAAAAACGACTCAAGACGAAAAACCAGTCCCGGGGAAAGGGTCGGGACTTCCAGGGACGCCGCCCTGAAAAAATCAAGATGTCGGATGTCTGGGACCTTAAGCCTCAACGTCATCGTCGTTGCCGTCATCAGCAGCATCTTTGTCATCATTGTCAGAGGACTCGCCACACCGCCTGGGAAACAATATAATCAAACATCTTGGGCGATGATACGCCGCCACCGCGCCGCCACCGCCTCCCGCGACGAGCTACGACCGAACGAAGCTATGCCTGCTCGCCCGCTCGCTCACCACCACTGCACACGACGCCACGACGCCACCACCACCGATGCCGTCATCTCTCTCTCTCTGCACCACCGCCGTGCGCCTCACACGCCGCAGCCCGCGGAGCGAGCGAGGGAGCGAGAGCGGCAGCCCTCCTCGAGGCACCGCTCGAAGAACTGGTCCAAGACTTTGCGGTAGTCGTCTGCGGGGCCGGGCGGCGGGAGAGGGGAGGTGCGGGCAGGAGCGGCAGGGAGAGGGGGCAAGAATTACCCGAAACGTACTACGTACCCCACCCCTTCTCCACGCGAGGCGAACATTTGCACGGACGCTCCACGCGAATGAACACATCGCCAAATATGCTCATCTCCGCCGTGTACCGAAACGGGGGTGTCGCCCACATGTGGGCTGCGCCACTGGGGCCGTAGGTAGAGCTCCCTGCGGGGCCGCGAAACGGGCGAGGGGTGTGCCGAAACGGGGGTGTCGCCCTCACGGGCTGCGCCACTGGGGCCTGAGGTGGAGCTCCCTGTAGGGCCACGAAACGTGTGAGGGGTGTGCCGAAACGGAATGTCGCCCACATGCGGGCTGTGCCACTGGGACCTTGGGTGGAGCTCCTTGCGGGGCCTGGGGCGACGAAACGTGTGAGTGGTGTGCCAAAACGGCCGGCTGATGCGGAGAGCAGAGGCAGGGATGAGAGGAGGGAGAGCGAACGAACGAACGAACGACCACCGATGCGGACAGCAGTCCGTGCCTACTGGAGACCAGATGAATGAGGCCGTGGCCTCTGAACTACTATTGTGTATGGTAATGCATGCATGCGAGACACAAAAAGTTATGTGAAACGGAGGGGGAGGGGAGGAGGGGGAGGAGTCCTCGTAGTCGATGTCGTGGTGTGTTGGTGCTGCGTCGTTGGGTGGAGTCTGTGTTGGTCGTCTGTGCTGGGGTTGGTGTGGATGCTGGCGCAAGGAGTCGGTAGTCGGTATGGTCGTGCTTGGTTGTTGATGTTCGGTGCTTGTGGTCGCGTGGTCGGCGGTCACTGCTGCATGTGACAGTTCGTAATATCATGCAGCGATGAAGGCTCCCTCGAGTGACTTCCACCATGTCGTCCGTGTCGCAGCTGTGAGCCACCTCACATCGTTAGTGTCGCGGTGGAGGTATCGTCGCGGTTGGGTGGCGTCGTTGGCGTCGCCTTGTGTGTGATCTTCGCCTGCCTGTCGACGCACGTTGTGTAGGAACTTCCGAGTGTCGTCGCCCCACCGCTTTTGCTGGCCACCATGTTGTCGATAACCATGTTGCCTTGTGTCCGTGTTGGGATTCCAATTCAGAGCTCGCTGTGTCCACCTATTCGACGGGTGGGTCGCTACGCGTGCTGCCCACTGCCAAACCATTTTGCGGTGCGTTTGGGTGACGTCTGGGATGTCGTGCATGCTCATCAGCTCCTCCGCCCTGCGAGTGCACCGGCGGATGCATTCGGACCAGAATTCGGCATCGTCTGCCGCGTGCTGGTGTGTCGGAGTCGGGTGGGGTGGGTCGATGCTGTCGTCACTTGCTTGGGGCGGGTCTGATGGAGTCGGTGGGTCGCTGGAAGCGTCGTGGTCGCTGGGGTCGTCGGAGGCGTTGCCGTCGAGGTCATCGTTGTCAGATTTGTCTATCGCTTGGGCAGCATGCGTTGGTGAAACTGCTGTCGTGTGTCGTCGCGGTGTCCCGACAATTGCCCTGATCATCCGTCGTTGCGTGCGGCGCAGCTGCTGTTTGAGGGGTTCTGTAATTGTCCATGACTCTGCGCCGTACATCATTGTGGGTACGACGGTGCCGCGGTACAGTCGTAGTTTGTGCTTGAGTGGGTAGTGCTTGCTCGTTAGCTCTTGTCTGTGCCCTGTGAAGCACGCCCATGCAGCTTGTATGCGATGCTGGATCTCGGTCGCCGATGCGTCTTGAAATGATATGGTCTGGCCAAGATATTTCAATTTTCCGGTGGGCGGTAGTACTTCGATGTCCATGGTTGCAACTCGTGCCGATCGCGTTCGTGTCCCGGTCCGGTTTGCCATGATTTTTGTTCTGGTCGGATGTATTGCAAGGCCGTGGGGAGTTGCTGCCTTGATTAAGTCCCCAAGCAGTGTCTTCAAATGGGGTAGTGTCTGACTGACCAGGAAGATGTCGTCGGCAAAGCGGAGGTTGGTAAGAACAGAGTCGCTGGTGTGTGCTAATTGTACTCCTCGTCGTCGTCGCTGCCAATCCGGAATGAGAGGTTCCAGGGTGTGCTGTAGTAGAGCGTTAAAGAGCAGTGGGCTCAAAAGGTCTCCTTGTTTTGTGCCTCGTCTGAGCTGGAAAGGTTTGCTGGTGGAGTCGGTGCGGACACAAGCCTTCTGGTCGTGGTAGAGACGCTGGAGCAGGTGGACGTACTCGGGTTGCACGCCTTGTCGTCGTAGTGCTAGCCACAGGCTGCTGTGTTCTACCGTGTCGAACGCTTTCCTAAAGTCTACGGCAGCAATCCACAAGGTCTGATTCCATTCGGAAGCTCGTCCGCGCAGGATGTTGGAAGTGAAGAGGTGGTCTCGCGTGCCGCGTCCAGGTCTAAGCCCCGCTTGGTCGTCGGGTTGGCATTGTTCAAGGACTGGCTGTAATCTCTTGTAAAGCAGACGACTGAATAGCTTATATATAATGGGGATCGTACACATCGGGCGGTAATTCTGTGGAAGAGATAAGTCGCCCGATTTGGGAATGACTGTGACCAGTGTTTTCCTCCAGCTTGCTGGCGTGGGGGCGTTCGGTTTGAGGACGGTGTTGTATAGCTCCAACAAGGCATTGTGAAGTAAGTTCCGGGCATGGTTTCCTGAGCATTTCTGCTGCCTTCGGTGTCCGGTGACTTCCCCAGCTTGAGTTGCGAGATTGCTGTGTCGAGTTCTTGCGCCGTGAAGGGTGTAATGTGTTGATGGGTGTCGGTCGTGTTTGGTGCTGCGTCGACGGTGCTGGCAGAGCTGTATAGCTCCTCGTAGAACGTCGCGAATACATCAGCAATGCCATGACGAGTCGTGTGCTTGGTGCCGTCGTTACTAACCATTTCCGTAATGAGCGTTCGTTTTCTTCTCGTCTTGATGGAGCTGATGCGCTTGAGGTCTCTGCGCTGTTCGAGGATGGTGCTGATTTGCTGTCGTCGTTTGGTGCGTTTTTGCTGTCGAATGTGTTTCTGTATTGTTTTGCTGACCGTCCGTCGGTTGCTCGTGTCTGTGTTTGGGATGCATTTGCGCTGCTGCACAAGGTCGGTGATGATATCGTCGGGTCTGGTTGGGTCGTCGCGATTGTTTGTTGCTCGACGTAATGGTTTGCGCGTCTCGGGAAGATGTGGCGTGCAGCGTGGCGTCGTTCAACCTCTTTTTGATTGTTTTGTTGAGGTCGTCGGGGTCAGCTGGTAGTAACTCGGGCTGCAACTTGGAGCCCAAATGACGTCGATACGCGCTGGGGTCTGTGTGTCTTTGTTCCGGCTTGGTGGTATGTCTGGCCGGTTGCTGGTGTCTGCCTGTGTTGGGATCCAACATTTTGAGGCGCATGTGCAGAGATACCGCCTTGTGGTCGGAATTGAGATCGATTGCGTTGCTGGCTTCGGCGTTCCGGCATGAAGGTAACAAGCACCTGTCCACCAGTATGTAGTCGTATTGCCGAGGTTTGCCGCCTGTCGTTGTGTAGGTGATCAATTTGTCTGGGCGCTTGCGGAAAAACGTGTTCACAATTGCAAGCCTCTCGTTGGTAGCCCAATGTCGCAACCATTGGCCTCGAGAGTTTTCGTCGCCGAACCCGTGGGGCCCCACGCACTGAGAACAAATGTCGGATCGGGGTTGCGCTACAGCGGCGTCGCCCCTCGAATGTACGTCCGGGGAGCGTGGTGGAGAACCAACTTGGGCGTTGAAGTCGGCACTCATGATTGTGCGCATGCGTCGGGAACGTGCTTCTCTGAGTAGAGCGCTGGCGGTGTCGTACAACTGTTGGATGTGGTGGTCTGTATATCCTGTGTGCGGAAAGTACGCCGATACCAATTGTAGTCGAAGCTTCCCTTTCCTGATGCTGAGCACCGCGATTCTCGCATTGATAGCCTGAAACTCCAACACGTGTTTGCTCCAACGCTTGTGCAAAAGGATTGCGACTCCGTGGGAACGGCTCTCGTTGCCAGACCCCGCAAACATGTGTCCATCTAAAGTGATCCAAAATTCTCGCTCTATCGTCCACCACGTTTCGTTGATTAGGACGGCATCCCAATGCAACCCACGTAAATCATGCAAAAGTTCGTCGATCTGGTCGATCGTCTTCAGAGATCTCGCGTTTTTGCGGAAGACTGCGAAATCGATGATGCCTGACTCGTCACACTTTGCCTCTTGATGCGTCGGATCGTGTTGGATTGGGGGGGAAGGAGAGGGGACGGGAGAGGGAGGAAGGAGGGGAGGGAGGGGAGGGAAGGGAGAGGGAGGACTGGTCGACGTTGTTGGTCTGTTGTCGGTGGTGGGTGGTAGTGGGCGTTGTGAGTCTGCTGGGGTCGGTGCTGTTTGTGGTGGTTCTGGCCGGTCGTGGCGCTGGTGGGTGCTGGTGGGCGCTGGTCGGTGGGTGGGTGCTGGTGGTCGCTGCTGGTCGGCTGGAGTCTGTGTTGCTTGCAGTGGTGTTGGTTGCTGGTCGGTCGTGGTCGTCGGTGGGCGCCGGTGGGTGCTGGTCGGTGGGTGGCGGTGGTCGCTGCTGGTCGGCTGGAGTCGGTGCTGCTTGTGGTGGTGTTGCTGGTTGTCGTTGGTCGGTGGGTGGCGGTGGGCGCTGCTGGTCGGTTGGGGTCGGCGCTGCTTGCTGTGATGCTGGTCGGTGCTGGTCGGTGGGTGGTGGTGGGCGCTGGTCTGCTGGAGTCTGTGATGTTTGCGGCGGTGTTGTTGGTTGTCGCTGGTCAGTGGGTGGCGGTGGGCGCTGCTGGTCGGTTGGGGTCGGAGTTGTTTGCTGTGGTGCTGGTGGTTGCTGGTCGGTGGGTAGCGGTGGTCGCTGCTGGTCGGCTGGAGTCGGTGTTGCTTGCGGTGGTGTTGCTGGCTGTCGCTGGTCGGTGGTGTGTGGTGGTGGCCGCTGCTGGTCGGTTGCGGTCGGTTCTGTTTGCTGTGATGCTGGTGGGTGCTGGTCGGTGGGTGGCGGTGGTCGCTGCTGGTCGGCTGGGGTCGGTGCTGCTTGCGGTGGTGTTGCTGGTTGTCGCCGGTCAGTGGGTGGCGGTGGGCGCTGCTGGTCGGTTGGGGTCGCTGCTGTTTGCTGTGATGCTGATCGGTGCTGGTCGGTGGGTGGCGGTGGTCGCTGCTGGTCGGCTGGAGTCGGTGCTGCTTGCGGTGGTGTTGCTGGCTGTCGCTGGTCGGTGGTGTTTGGTGGTTGGCGCTGCTGGTCGGTTGGGGTCGGTGTTGCTGTGGTGCTGGTGGTTGCTGGTCGGTGGGTAGCGGTGGGCGCTGTTGGTCGGCTGGAGTCTGTGTTGCTTGCGGTGGTGTTGCTGGTCGGTCGTGGTCGTCGGCGGGCACTGGTGGATGCTGGTCGGTGGGTGGCGGTGGTCGCTGCTGGTCGGCTGGAGTCGATGCTGCTTGTGGTGGTGTTGCTGGTTGTCGTTGGTCGGTGGGTGGCGGTGGGCGCTGCTGGTCGGCTGGAGTCGGTGTTGTTTGCTGTGGTGCTGGTGGTTGCTGGTCGGTGGGTAGCGGTGGGCGCTGGTCTGCTGGAGTCTGTGCTGTTTGCGGCGGTGTTGTTGGTTGTCGCTGGTCGGTGGATGGCGGTGGGCGTTGCTGGTCGGTTGGGGTCGGTACTGCTTGCTGTGGTGCTGGTCGGTGGTCGGTGGGTGGTGGTGGGCGTTGCTGGTCTGCTGGAGTCTGTGCTGTTTGTGTTGGTGTTGCTGGTGCTCGAGGGGGGGGAAAGGAAGGAAGGAGTGACGCGGGGCGCTGTCCCTTCAAAACGATGGCCCAACACCACAGGATGAATGTGAAAGCATTGAACAACTGATGGGGAACCCCTGAATTTTGCCTATATGGAACCCTCTTGGGGGCCGCTAAGCACCCTTGGAGCGTCTGCGTGGCGTTATGGGGCGTCTGGAAGCCTTCCTGGAACGCCGTGGGAGCCACGAGCGTCTGGGAGTTATTTTCCGGCGGCTCGGGGGCGATTCGGCGCCTTTTTGGGCTGCCCTGGAAGTGTCTTTGGGCGGCTTTGGGGCCTCTTGGGCAGTGCGGGCGCCCTTGAGGGAGGGCCCTGACCCCGTCTTGGGGTGGGTGTTGGTGCTTCTAGGGATGGTTTGGAGCGTCGGCGAGCTGAAAACGCGTGAGCCCCACAAAAGCACTAGAAAATCGATGGGGCACCCGTGAATTTTGCGCCTTGGGGCCCTCCTTGGGGGCGTCTAGGGACCCCCCCCTGGAGTACCTGGGAAGCGTTTTGGGGCGTCTGGAAGCCTTGGGGGCGTGGTGGGCCATCTGGAGGCGACCACGAGCGTCTGGGAATGATTTTCTGGCGGCTCGGGGGCGGCTCGGGGCTCTCGGGGCCGGTCTGGAGCTCCTCCAGGGCCCCCGGATCACGGATAAAACATACGATTCACGGCAAAACGCGCTAAGTCATCGCTCCTCCCTCGGGTCGGCGGCAGGGGCGGCAGCCTTTAGATCCGGCCGCTCCCGCCCTGCGGTGTGGGCCGTGCGAGACAACTCTGTCAGCGTGCCTGGCAGGATTCGCCAGGGTCTGGTCAAAAACTCCAGAATCGAGGACGCCGGCGGCGCATCACCGGCCGCTCCCTGGGAGTTTGTCGGCGTCTTGGAGTGATCCCGCCACCTTGCCTGGGTTGTGGGTCAGAGTCCTCATGGACGCTTGTAGTAGTCTCTTCGGACAGCTCTCGGGAGCCTCTGCGGGGCATTTTAGGAGCCTCTGGGGAGCCTCCTGGAAGCTTCTTGGGAACTGCTTCGAGCCCTCTTGGGGGCCTTTGAGGTTTTTCTGGGACGCCTTGAAGGCGCGTGAGGGCCTCTAGAGGCCATCTTCGGCGTCTGGGAGTGATCCCGCCACCTTGCCTGGGTTGTGGCTCAGAGTCCTCATGGACGCTTGCAGGAGTCTCTTCGGACAGCTCTCGGGGGCTTCTGCGGGGCAGTTTAGGGGCCTCTTGGGGGCGTCCCAGGGGCTTCTTGGAGACCTCTGGGGGCCCTCTTGGGGCCTCTTGGGGCTCTTTTGGGGTTTGTTGGGGGCCTCCAGGGGGCCGCTGAGGGCCTCCTGGGGGCCTCTTGAGCCGAAAGCTCGACATGTTCATTCGGGTACCCCTTCTGGGCCTCCTCTTGGGGCCATCCTGGGGCCCCTCTTGGGCCGTCCCGGGGGCCTCTTGGGCGGTGTTGGGGCCCTCTTGGGCCGTCTTGGGGCCGTCTTGGGTTGGGCCGTCCTGGGGCGATCTTGGGGGCCTCTTGGGCCGTCGTGGAGCGTGGGTAAGCCGAAATGGCGTGAACGTGAAAATCCTTCAAAAACCATTGAAAAAATCAATGATTTTTGCTTCTCGGGGCTGTCTTGGGGTGCTCTTGGAGCCCTCTTGGGCCGTCTTGGAGGCGTCTTGGGACGTCTGGAGGCCATCTTAGGCGTCTTGGAGCGATCTGGAACCGTCTGGAGGCTCTCTTGGACTGCTCGGGACTCTCTTGGACCGGCTTGGGGCGCCCTTGGGTCGTCCCTGGGCCGTTTGAGACCTTGAAGGGGGCCGGCGGCAGAGTGGGGCCAGCGGCAGAGTGGGGCCCCCTCGGAGGGACTTTCAGGAGGTTTTTGACCAGGCACTGGAGAAGGGGGCCAAAGACTGTGCCAGACACTGTGTCAGAGAGGTCTCGCACGGCCCAACCCGCCGGGCGGGAGCGGCCGGATTCCCTCCCAGAGGCCCAACCTCTGTCGGCGGTCCCTCACAGACCCCCCCAGCTCAACGACTTAAGGGCCCCAAGGCGACCCTACAAACGCCCGGGGGCGACCCGCGAGCGCCCCAAGACGGCCCAAGAGAGCCCCGCGACGGCCCTAGAGAGCATCCAGACGGCTCCAGATCGTTCCAAAACGCTCCAGATGGCCTCCAGACGTCCCAAGACGCCCCTGAGATGCCCCAAGAGGCCTCCAAGATGCGCCCCAAAAAAGTCCCCAGACGCAAAAATTGCCCCATTCCCTTCGTAAAACGTACATGTTGCACAACGTTGCTTTTAAGGCTTTCCGAAGCTCCAAGACGGCCCAAGAGGCCTCCAAGACCGCCCCCAAACAGCCCAAGAAGCCTCCAAGAGGGCACCAAGACAGCCCAAGAGAGCCCCAAGACGGCCCAAGAGGCGCCCAAGACGGCCCAAAGAGAGCCCCAAGAAGAGCCCGAGAGGGGGTCCGGAGGGGGGCCACGAACGGAAAGCTCGAGCCTCCCGCTCCAAGGACCGCCAGGAGGCCCCAAGAGGCCCCCAGGAGGCCTCAGGGAGCTCCCAGGAAGCCCCCCCAAGAGACCCTCAGAGGGCGTCAAGAGCCCTACAACGAGAGCCCCAACAAGCACGAGTCGTCCTGTTCCCTGGGGGAAATGTAGAATTCTAGCATATCAAACTTGTGGCCCTCAGAGCGTCCTCGACGGCCCTGGAGGCCCCCGCGACCAACCCAAGATGGCCCCAAAAGCTCCGCAGAGAGCGCAAATACAGCCTACGGGCACCCCAAGACGACCCAAGAGAACCCAATACGGCCCAAGAGTGCAGTAAGAGAGCCCCAAGAGGCGGAAATCGAAAGGACACTTCGAGCTTGCCGCCACAACGAGACCTCCGACCCCGCCAGCAGGCTCCCAAGAAACATTCGATGGACCCCAAGAAGCCCCCAATAAGCCCCAAAGATGCCCCCCCCAAAAAGACCCGAGAGGCCCCCTAACGGCCCCTAAGAGGAGCCGAAGAGGCTTCAAAACTGCCTCCAAGAGGCTCCCGAGACGCTGCGTCAAACTCCCAGGGAGCGGCCGGTGATGCGCCGCCGGCGTTCTTGATTTGAAAGAGATTCACAAATGGAGGGCGGGTGGTCTTCAAAACGTGGCTATCGCCGTGGCGCCGCGCACATTCGTTTTGAACATGTGCAAGAACTTCACGGATGGAGGGCGGGTGATTTTCATAATGTGCCTCTCGCCTGACGCGCAGATTCGTTTTTAGAGTTGCAGAAATTCTCACGATCGTTTTTTGAATGTGTAAGAGATTCACGGATTGAGAGTGGATCGTTTTCAACATGTGGTTCTCGCCTTAGCGCCACGCACATTCGTTTTTTAATACACGTGTTTCAAACATTAGCATGGTCAGCGACATGCTTTTCTGGAGCGGCTTATGATTGCCAGGGCGCAGCAGTTACGTTGATTCGCAGTGTTGGCATCCCAGGAATGATGTTCTGGCACGAATCAGGATCACCATGACGCAACAGTCAGGTTGACTCCTGGCGTTGAAGTTCTGAAACTAGTGCTTTGGCACGCTTCAAGATGTTCGCGCGGATGTTCCCCAAGAGGCAGTTCCCTCAGTCGAAAGAAAGCCTTGTAGGGGCTCGTGAAGAGGGAGCTGGGGGGAGGGCGCACTCCGATACCATTGGTGAGTCTTGGGTTTGCACTGGTCCTCCTCCTCCTCCTCCTCCTCCTCCTCCTCCTCCTCCTCCTCCTCCTCCCCCTCCTCCTCCTCCTCCTCCTCCTCCTCCTCCTCCTCCTCCTCCTTCCCTTCTCCTCCTCTGGTGGGGGCCGGCGAGGAGGCGAGGCGGCGGCGCCTCTGCTCGCGCGCTTGCCTGCGGCGCCCCCGCCGGAGCAGAGCAGCAGCGCGGCGGCCAGCGCGGTGGCTGCGGCCGCCCAGGACCTCGGCAGTCACGCGGCCTCTCGAGCGGACCGACGTATCGAATCGGGGCGCTGGCCTTCCTCGGCCCTCGAGGTTCGAGGTTCGAGGGTCCTCCTCCTCCTCCTCCTCCTCCTCCTCCTCCTCCTCCTCCGGCACCTCCTGCTGCTCCTGAGGCTCGAGGTTCGAGGGTCGAGATGTCTGGACGCCAGTGGCCCTTCTTGGGCCACAGGAGGGGCAAGTTTCGGGACCCCCTCGAGGCCATCGAAAAGCTGGTCGTGGGTGGACAGTCAACTGCCCCCCGGAAGGAGCAGAAACAACACTCCATCGGATGTCTCGCGGGTGCGGCGGAGGGCGATGGGCGTGTGCGGCCTCCCAGACCTTCGAGGTTCGAGGGTCGGGGTGCTTGGGCGCCAGTGCCCCTCTGGGGCCGCAGGAGGCCTGCGCGGGGTCCTCTGGTGGCCCAACCTGTATCCACTGCTTCGATGGATGCGGGGTCCCCAGAAGCCCTGACCGCTCGCACAGGGCCGGCTTCTCATCCCGAAAAGTCTCTTGACTGTGCTGGGGCCCCGAAGGGGCTCCCAGAGGCCGAGAACGGCGCAGAAAAGCATCCCCGCTGATTGCTGGAATACGTTGGATGTCTGGGATTTGCACCCATCCTCCTCGGGAGGAGGATGGCAACTACGGCGACGACGAGGAGAAGGAAGAAGGCCAGTGCAAACCCTGGACTCATTAACAATGTTGCAATAAACCCTCCCTCCAAGCTCCCTCTTCACAGGTCCCTACGGGGATCCAGTTCCATTGCTGAAAGAAGTGACCCGTTGGAAGACAACCATCTGAAAATCAGGAACTGTGCCAAAACACTATTCCTGGGACTTCCAGTCGACGAATCAACGTTACGGTTACGTCCTGTCGATCCTGAACCGTGCCAGAACACAATCCCTAGGACACTGCGAATCAACGTGACCCTTGCGCCCTGACAGTCCTACATCCTGCCAGAACACCATTTCTGGAACATCAACCAGAATAATCTTGAGGCTGCTGTAACCCCTTAATACGAATGTGCTTGGCGCCATAGTGCGAGAACAGAATTCAAAAAGGAACTGTCCTCCATCCGTGCAGCTCGTACAAGTTTTTAGGACGAGTGCGCGCGGCGCGAAGGCTAGAACCTCATGTTGAAAACCGCCCGGCCTCCATCCGTGAATATGATGCAGAGTGGTAAAGGGAATGAGCGCGGCGCTAAGGCGAGAGCCACATGTTGAAAACCACCCGCCCTCCATCCGTGAAGCTCCTGCAAACTGGTAATCCGAATGTGCGCGGCGCTAAGGCGAGAACCACTTGGAAACGACACGCCCTCAATCCGCAGAACCCTTGCAAATTTCTAGCTTCAGGATCGTGAATGATGAAGAAGTCTCACTCGAAACGCCTGGCCAGGGTGCGACAGGGAGGAGTTATTGATCAACGAATGGGACTGAGGAAGAGGACGAGGAGACTGACGAGGAGGAGAACGGGGAGGAGGACGACGAGGAGGACGACGAGGACGAGGACCGCGACGACGACGACGAGGAGGAGGTGGAGGAGAAGTAGGAGGACGACGAGAAAGAGGACGAGGAGGTCGAGGAGGAGGACTGCGAGTAGGAGAAGGAGGAGGGCAAAAAGCAAAGGTCAGAGGAGAAAAAACTCGGAGTTCATCGAAATGCAAAAAAAAAGCAAGAACAACACGACGGAGCGCTTTTGACCGCTTCTGGCCTCCGAGGGACCCTTGCTGGGCCACGGTACCGTCTAAAGACGAGTGACTCAGGATGCAAAGCTGGTCCTGAGAAGGTGGTGGTGACTTCTGGGGACCTGTCTTGAAACTTCGAGACATCACATGTATGGGAACAAACGTCAGAGGAGGCTTTTGCCTGTTATAGTTTGCTGCGTGCTTAATCCGCCACCGTGCCTCTGGCACGAAGTGGACTGCCCCAGTGCTCACAGCTCACAGCTGTAATTATTGTTACTGCAGCCAAGAGTGTAGCGCTTCAAGGGCACAGGTCCCTGATGTTCCGGACCTTTCTGGTGTCTGCTGGGATGTTCCCCGTAAGTTCAGTGGCGTTTCCTCCCAATCCTTTCGACGGCCGGGATGGCTCAAGTTGGCCTCCAAGATGCCTCCAAGACGGCCAAGATGGCCCCAAGAGAGTCCGAGATAACCCAAAGATGGCCTCCAAGCCAGTCCCAAGATGCCTCCAAGACCTCGAAGACGGTCCAAGCGCGCCCAAGAGGGCCCAAGCAGCGCCCAAGAATCCCCTAAGACGGCCCGAGGGGCCTCCAAGAGGTCCTGCAGGAAGGCCCGAAGAGACGGTCGAGGCGGAGGAGGAGGAGGAGGAGGAGGAGGAGGAGGAGGAGGAGGAGGAAGGAGGAGGAGGAGGAGGAGGAGGGGAGGAGGTCGATGATGATGATGATGGAGGAGGAGAGGAGGAGGAGGAGGAGGAGGAGAAGGACGAGGAGGAGGAGGAGGAGGAGGAGGAGGAGGGAGGAGGAGGAGGAGGAAGGAAAGGAGGAGAGGAGGAGGAGGAGGAGGAGAGGAGGAGGAGGAGGAGGGAGGAGGAGGAGGAGGAGGAGGAGGAGGAGGAGGAGGAGGAGGAGGAGGAGGAGGGGGGGAGGAGGAGGACGAGGAGGAGGAGGAGGAGGAGGAGGAGGAGGAGGAGGAGGAGGAGGAGGAGGTAGGTAGGTGTGCTCCCTTTGAGCTGGCGGCGGAGGCGTCGGACGGCGCTTCCTTTTAGCAAGGAGCCACGACCCCGGAGCGGGTTCGGAATCGACCTTGCTGCGACGGCTCCGGAAGACAAAGCGCTAGCACTGGGGGGAACGGAGGGGGGGTAGGCGAAAGCTTTAGCTCTCGGGGGGCCTAGGCGGAATTCTTGAGTCGGCGCTGGACCCCCCCCCCCAACGCTCAACACGAGCCCGGGGAGCGGCGCCAAGGCGCCGGGGGGGCACAGCCCCTACTCAGGAAAAAAATCCAGCCTCCGAAGGACCTCACAGCTCCAGCCAACAGCTCCGCCCTGAGCCTCGGCCAGAGCGAAATAGCAAAGGCAACTCAGAGATTCCCCGCAACGTGGGGGGGGGCCAGGCAAGGAGCACCTGCCTGGAGCTCGTCCGATCCCCACTGCACTGCCTGGTCGACGTACCCCGCAGGTGCGGGACGGTGACAGGAAGGGGGAAAGGGAGCCACCCCGAGGGGGGGGAAACGGGGGCCCAAACCGACCCGGCCAGCCTGCCACGAGCCCACAGGGAGAAGAATACCGCTCCCGCCGCACCCCAGGGCAGGACCAGAGCTCCGAGGCGAATCCAGCCGCGGCGACAAAGGCACCCCCGAACGAGCACCGGTCAGGGTACCGCTCCCCCCCCAGAAGCGCCAGGCACAGGAGAGGGAGGGCGGGAGGGGGCGAGATCGGAAGGGGAGAAAAAACCTCCCCAGAGAGGAGAAGAGGGGGAAAGAGGACGGGGCGAAGACAGAGGCCCATCCCAGCCCGACCCGACCCGACCACCCGGGCTCTCGGACGGAAGGGGGGATGGAGGGAGGGAGAAAGGGAAGGAGAGAAGGAAGGAAACGGGGCGAGCGGGGGAGGCTTCTTCATGGCAAAGCAAGGTGGGGGGCACGAGGAGCGTTCCTCCACCGCCGCTGGAGCCGGGAAGGGGGGGGAGCAAGAGGCAAGCGCTCATGCCGCTGCACCCCGGGGCAAAAACCAGAGCTCCGAGGCGAATCCAGCCGTGGCGACAAAGTGGCCCCAGCACGAGCAGCGGCCCAGGTACCAATCCCCCCAGAGGCGCCAGGCAGAGGGGGGGGGGGCGGGGGGGGGGCAGACCGGACGGGGAGAGAAAGCCACCTCGAGAGGAAAAGAGAGGGAGAGAGGACGGGGCGAAAAGGGAGGCCCACCCCGGCCCGACCCGACCGGACCACCCGGGCTTCCAGGCGGAGGGGGAAGGGAGGGGGGGAGGGAGACAGGGAGGGAGGGGGCGCTGGAGCCGGGGAGGGGGAAAGCAAGAGGCAGCCACGCCAGACTCTGGAGGAACAGAAAGAAAGAAGCAAAACACCCGATAGGCTTCGGCCACAGCCTCCACGCAGGACCGGGACCACCTGGGCCACAGGAGGGCACGGCTCCACGACCCAAGGAGGCCCGGCCCGGAACGGGGGCGGCGGAGGAAGGCCGTCGGGGACCTCGGAGCGGCGGCAGGACAGACGGCAGCAGCGGCGCCGGCAGCACCAACCGCAACGGCACAGACCGCAACAACAGCGACGGCGGCGCGACGGACAGCGACGACGACGACGGAACGACGGCAGCGACAGCAACAGCCGCGACCACGGCGAGCAGCCCAGTAGCTCAGTTAGACTAGGATTATAATTCGTTAGGCTTATGTTGATTATCCTCTAAATCATGTTGATTAGAGGATAATTATCCTCTAAATCATGTTGATTAGAGGATAGGTATCCTCTGAATCGTGTTGATTAGAGGATAATTATCCTATAATATGTCTGCTAGAAGATAATTCTCCTCTAATTATCATATAATTATCATTTAATTATATTCTATAATTTTATCCTCTAATTATCCTCTAATTATCCTCTAAGATAACCATTTTGTTATTCCTCCTCATCCTCTCCTTCCCCTTCCTCCTCATCACAAGTATCTTCTTTGTTCCTCATCCTCCTCCCCTTCCCCCTCCCCCTCGCTCTCCTCTTTCCAATCCTCCTGATCATGTCCCCCTTCTCCATATTCCTCGCCTTCCTCCCTCGCGACCTGCCTGCCTCATCGTCGTCGCACCGCCATCATCATCATCAGCTGTCCTGTCCTCCACCGCCCCCTTCACCATCGCAGCGCCATCGCCATCTCCTTGCCCCTGCTCGAGCAGGGGCAAGGAGGAGGTGCCGCCCCCTCCACCTCTAATCAACATGATTTAGAGGATAATCAACATAAGCCTAACGAATTAGATTCCTAGTCTAACTGAGCTACTGGGCGAAATCACCGCTGA